AGTGCCCCCGAACTGGACATGTGATGAGAGATTGTACGACTACTACTACCACCACCACGAAAATATCAATGATGATTTGCTTTTAGTGAAATCAGAGGGGACACAAGCAATCCCAGTGCACGAGTTTAAAAGCAGCAGGGCAGGTGGCAGCACCCGCCCCTTGCTACATTGAGGATTACAGACAGTGGTTAGGGCCGGAGTGAGGCGCCTGTGGCGAAGAGCAAGGCCTTTCAGTTGATAGTCGAGGAAGCACGAGCAGCTCCTGACGTGGTGGCGGGTATGTATATTTCCCTTAACTCCTTATTGATAATGATTATTGCTTATGTTTATGTGTTTTATTATAGGATCGTTCTTAGTGAACGATATATCAGCTTTGGTACTGTGATTCGGGTACCACCCGATCTTTTGTGTCCCTCGCGCTCAGCAAGCGATTCTCAGGGGTTCCAGGGAAGCTGGATTTCCCACTTGATGTAGATATAGCAGATGATAGGACCGTCAGGGTTGCGAGGGTTCACCGAGGATGTACATTGCAGTTGTTTGATGATCAGTTTTCTGTGGATCTAGTCCTTATTCCCCTCAGAGGGAACAATGTGATAATCGGTATGGATTGGTTGAGCCCAATGGGGCAGTGATTGACTGTGAGCAACAACTAGTGAGGGTTCGTACTCATAGCGGGGGAGGGTTAGTGATTCAGGGCGAGAGCCCTACATTCAGTAGCGAGGGTGAGGCGTTATCTCCAGTAGGGCTGCGTAGGTTACGTCACCTATGTCATGGATACCTGGGATAAGGCCTATTTAAAGGAAGTAATGGCTAGGGTTTCCTCCACCCTCAGCCTCCATATCCTCCAAAGCTTTGAAGCAAACCCTAATTCCCTCTTCTCCATTTTGAGCTTATTTTGGTGTTTTGTGGCCTTGGAATGAAGAAAAAGGAACCCTTGTGCATAGATCAAGAAAGCTACTCAACCATACTCCTTGTGTGCATCTTCTGGACCATTTGTGAGTTCTCAAGTTCACTTCTTGGTGATGTCTTCCTTTTATATCTAGGTTATCTGGTATGTTTTAGTCCATATTTGAGTTTTGGCTGGATGAAAATGATAAAGTTTACAACTTTATGGCTTACCTTTGTCCCTTGGTCATTATATCTTCTGGGTCTAGGATTTGGTGTAGTTTTGGTAATCATGTATAAGCTTTAGGTCCCTTTTCTCATATTTTGACCTAGTTTGGGGAAGGACATACATGGAGCATGCATGTCCACAAATTTTGGATTTTTATGAGCCTTTTGATCCCTTAGAAGACTTTTGGAGAGTATGGACTAAGGACTTAACCGATTAAGAGCTGGAGCAAAAAAGTTGTCTTCAACTTGTTACCACGACGTGGTAAGTTCAATGCCACAGCGTGGAGAAAATGGAAATCATGACTGTTTTGTGATAAGGTCCCACGATGTGGCCAAGGGATGATCACGACGTGGAGGTCAACTAATGTTGACTTTGACCGTTGACTTTTGACTAGGTTTGAATTTTAGTCAGATTGATAGTTTGGAAGGTAGACTAATGATTTAACTTGTATGATTCCGTAGGAGGTGTGTAGCACCTGCTTTTCAGCTGTGTGAACTTGTTAGTTAACAATGTCGTTGTGAGGTGAGTCTTCTCAATATACTATGTAGGGTGCTAGTTGTCTTTGTGATACTAGCATGGAAGACTAGGGTTTGGCCCCTGGAATTCATATGAAATGCCAAGGTTTGGCCCCTAAGATTTGCATGTAAGACCAGGGTTTGGCCCTTGATAATTGTATCGAAGGCCAGGATCTAACCCTGACACTTGTACAAGTAAAGACCATGATTTGGCCCATGGCAGAGAGTAAGACCATGATTCGGCCCATAACATCTTCTTAGGTTGAAAGATATCTGTTATGTTATGTATTGGTATGTGGTATTTTAGGGGAACTCACTAAGCTTGATGTTTATGGTTTTGTGGTTTAAACATTTCAGGTACTTCTGTTTCCAATGGGAAAAGTCTGACATGATTGCATTGCATCCACATGAGATTTCATATTTTTGATTTTGTTACCACTCTGTTATTGGGAATACTTTTGATACAACCACTATTTTGAAAGTAATGAATGAATGATTTGGTTAGTTTAAAAACAATTTTTTTATCTAGTATTCTTGGGACGTTACAATAACTTTCCGACTAAAACTCTTTTTACTTAAAAATATCATTTACGGACCCCTACCCAACTTTAAGGTTTGGATTGTTATCGATGCAAAACACGAAAAATAAACAAAAATAAATAAAAATAAAAACAACTAGAATAAAAGAAAACCTAGCTAACCTACAATTTCTCAGGGGTTTGTTATTTCACTTAACATATGCAACAAGCCTTTTAAAACTCATAGGTTATCTATAATGGACAAGTGAAGTCTTGTGCGTGTTTATAGTAACTTACCCACAAAGTTCACAGGTTGCCTCCAATAATAGAGTTAAGTTTAACATCTTTAGACAGACGGGTTACCTCATCTAGTTAACGTGGCTCGTGTTGTGGCACTTGCAATGCTTACTCTTTTAAGAACAATTTTGAGGCACCTTGAGTCTTTATGCCCCATTGAATTGAAACACCAACTATCTTACTGAAACTAGTGCTTTCAATATTGGCAAGGAACTTCCCAGCTTCTTCTCATCTCATCCGTCAATGATGGCTTTTTCTTTCTTTCACGCAATCTTCTCATGCATCACTTGCAACTTCTTGTGATTTAGTTTCCTATCCCTGTCAATATCAATGAAATTCTCCAAAGGATTGGAGTGTTTTCTTTATGGGGAGGGGTTTCGTAAATCCCCTTTGATAGTCTCTATTTGAAAGCACTCGTGACCCAACATGTTAATGAAAGTACATAAATATTTAGCCTTAATTTCCTATTATCAAAACTTATGTCTATGGCTCCCGTTCGACAATTGATTTGAGCATTCATGGTTTCCAAGAACAGTTGCCCTAAAATAATGATTGGGTGAGTTTCCTTATATGTGCTCTCAATGTCCAACATAAGGAAATCTGGTGGGTAATAGAAATCGTTCACTTTTACTACAATATCTGCTAACATGCCTCAAATGATTTTTATGGACTTATCAACAGGTTGTAAAACTGTATGTGTGTGTTTTAACTTGCCTAACTTGTACTAATCATATAAATGTCTCGGGAGGATGTTGACACTTGATCTAACTCCCGGGATTTTTATGGACTTATCAACAAGTTGTAAGACTGTATATGTGTGTTTTAACTTGCCTAACTCGTACGGGTCATATAAATGTGTCAAGAGGATGTTGACACTTCCAAGGTCAAGGAGTGCCTTTTTTTATGTCAATTTTACCAAAGCTAATAGAAATTAGAGGTGCTAAAAAATCTTTAAGCTTTAGTGGAAAAGAATTAAACTACTTAGAGCTCACATGTTTAGTTAGGTCAACCTTTCTAAAGAGGTGTGCTTGTAGCTTGAGTTTTTTGCATACTAAAGTCTTTCAATAGTTTAGCATATGACGACACCTCCTTAATAAGTTTAACCAATGAGATATTTATTTTAACTTGAGATAAAAGTTCCCACATGTCCTCCATTTTTTGTCCTTATTTTACAAAGAGGAAAGATGTCAGATTCTCTTAGAGCTGAGGCGTATGGCGCAACATTATCATCCACTTCATGCTCCCAATCTTATTTTCTCAAGTGATACCAGACCCAAAGATCAAGAACACATTCCGCATCCATCCGATGTATCATCATTATCCACATTAGGGGAAGTTACAGCTTAATCATGTTCATGGAATTGTCACCACATAAGGTGTGTTCTTTTCTACAGAACGGTTGAATATCTAAGATAAACAACAGTTATATGGTTGTCGGAAAGATACTAAGACCCCTACTTTTATCACTACCATGCTTGGCCATATCAACATTTGTATGTTTAAATACACATTTGTCATAAGAATCATTGTTATAAATAGACACCACAATCAAATGTTACCTTGTAGCATGTTAACGGAGGGAATTGCATACCTTTAGGACTTGAATCAAGCATGACATACAACATTCATGCATTGTTCCTACACATAATTTGAGTTGCAACTATCTTGGAAGAGCTGGTGCTGTCATTCGTCACATATATGATGTGGCATCATCATGACATCATATAGAGATATCTAAGCATAATGTTGATTGAGCACTTGTTCTTGTCTCTCATCTTCAAGTTTCTAACTAATCATAATATTCCAATGCACTGGTTCTACTTAAATATAACTACCTTACATTGAAGGTACATAATAAGAAACCAGCTTTCATTTAATCATTTCTTTCTCTTTCTAGACTCTTCAGAGTTTTGAATATCCAATTTGTGGTTGGATTGGTTCCATGACACATGCTCAGATTTCAGAAACATATAATAACAATTTGCCTGTTATTAACATTGTGAAGTGCTCACTCAGAACATGATATAAAGCAACATTCATTTGATCCCACAATATGCACGTTGATTATTGCATCAATTTCAGTTTATATTTTTTCTCCGAGTAGTATTGGCTTGTGTATCTTTTGGTTATAACCAATCAAATAAGCAAAAAAGAACACTTGTAGTTAAAGCCTAAAAGTAAAAGGACTACAATAAACGACATATACTTATCTATAATGCACTTCACTACAACAGTCTTCTAGATCGTTTTCTTAAAATATAATTTAACAATTTTTTTTAAATATAATATTTGATACCATGCATCATCCCACAATGATTTAATAACATTGACGAACATATTGGCATATAATTGAATAGCTAAATAAACGGTGCTTGATGAGTAATCAAATCACAAACAGTGACAATGTTATCTTTTTATAGGTGAGGTGGCAACTCATTATAAAAGGAACGTGTATTATTACAATATCACTATTATAATATTATATCATCATATGTTGTTACTGTTAAGTGTGTTAGCAACTGAAATGACCATTCAGAGAGAGAACAGAACGATAGTGGAGAACGCAATACATACTCAAATTATTGCTTCATGATATGTCTAAAGAAAAAAGATCAACAGTTCCTCATCACTCTTTCTTTAATAAATAAATAAACAAATAATCAGTAAATATTAAACCTATTTCTTTTTATGGATATTGATGTTACAGTTAGACTTGTGTAACAACATTAAGTCGGAATAATAATTTTACAGTCTGGATCGGGAATCCTTTTTAGGAGGAGGAGTGGGGATATGCAAAGCATCATAATGACCAAAACCATGGTACAACACTCTGATTGGATTCGGATCATCTTTCTTATTACTACTACTACTATTATTCTTACTCTTGTATTCATCACCATATTCTGCAATACATATCAGACCACCTGAATCCGCATCACTCATATACACCCAAATTGGCATCCTGCAATTTCATACATTATATAACATTTACGCAACCAAAAAACCCTACTCAGTTTATAATATAAAACCAAACCTCACCAAAAAGTAAGACTACCAATCTAATTAACAATATTAATTATTAAGAGACTTAAGCACGTAAAAGCAATTAAGCATAAAGAATGATTATGGTTAGTAGAATTATATAAGTTGTCATGGAGTGTGCTTGAATGTGATTCCTTGGAAAAAGACAAGGGCAAAATGTTCAATCGGATAACTTAGATGACAACCCAGGGACTAAAAACGTTAAGATACAATGAATTAGTAGAATTATATAAGAACCCTCTTTTTTTCCTATCCAAACACTCCCTAAGTCTTTTTTTTTTCCGGCTTACCTGTAGCCGGTTATAAAAACTGAATGTGGACAAAAAAGGTACTCAATGACCAAATGTGTACAAATCAAAAAGTATATTATTACCCTTTTATGTCATTCTCCCTTTATTTTATATGATGATTTAACATGGAAATAGGCTATGACTAATGATATTAAGTTCATGTGTCTAAATGATCTTTATAATGACAAAAGTTTATTTCATCAACAAACAAACAAATCTTGCTCTTTACTTATTCAAACACTAACAACACAAAATTTACAATGTACTAGGTTTAAACTGGTATTTTCATCAGATCACTTGTTGATTATCAAACTTTAACCATCAATTAATGTAACCTGGATAATTACTGCTTCCTTTCCTTTTCTTGCTCTTCTTAAACCGCTATTAATACGTTTACAGTTTACTTTACTTCACTTCCTACCTCTCTTAAAAGAAAACTAATTTCAACATTACTTTTGCATCAACACACTAGCATGCATACCAGTATTACCACACATGCATCTTCAATATTTAACAGCATATTAGAACCTTATATGAATGAAAACACCAATATACTTGTAACACAATCCCCCATTGTGTGTGTATGTGTGTGTGTGTGTGTGAGAGAGAGAGAGAGAGAGAGAGAAGGATTTACTTGAGAACATGAGAAGCCATGAGTAATTCAGGTTCGCCTCCCCATACATGTGTCTTCCTCATTTGTGACACATATGAATCAAAGTCACCTTCAATAAACCTAAATAAAATCAGAATTCAGATTCAGAAAGCCCCCTCCATATCAGAACTAGTCAGAAATATATATATATATATATATATATATATATATATATATATATATATATATATATATATAGTGTAATAGCATAAAATAATCGTGAAGGTACAAGAGAAATCCCACACATCTCACCATTCAGTTTCTTCCCGTCTTTTAACAAATTCATCTGCCACCTATGAAAGTACCACATCAAAAATATATATCAATACAGAGCGAAAAAAAAAAGCATAATGATTTTCAAATCAAAATTCTTAGATATAGTATATGAATAAAATACACATACCCTGGCACGTAATTCATCAGCCAACTCTCTTTGCATTCTCTCACTAGGAGCAGGCTTCCCTGATCGTATACAAGCTCCATGAGCAACAGCCCGAAACAAACATCTCCCATCTCCCGGTATTCCTGTACACAGTCCAATGCACACCAAACACAGTACAACCTGTTCTGTCAAGTCCTGTCTTGTCATAAGTCATAACAAATGTATGTACTACAACTTAGCTCACCTATAACAGAATAATCAGTATGAACTTGCTTTCCATGTGAAAAGTTAGTATTTGATGAACTACAGTCGTCTTCTTCCTTCTTCTCTTCTGCTTCAGCATATGATGGGTCAGAGCTTGAACTGCAAACAGCTAATCCCATTGCAACCCCAGCTGATGCACATCCTTGTGTCCAAGATCCAGGTACCAAACTCCACTTCATTCTAGATATGATTCCTTGTTTTGGAAATAAAAGCCTAAAGTTCATACTGCGGGACCCAAGTGAAAGATCAAAGCGTGTCTTTTGTGTCCCGCTTCTGGATCGCATAGCAGTTTTGATGCTTAACAACTGCCAGTTGTTGTTGTTGCTCCTAGGGTTTGCAGTAAGTGAGTTGCGGGAGTTTGTCTTCACAACATGATTTGGTTTCACACATCCGAGTGAGAGATGAAAACAGCATGAACTTGATGCAGATTGAGGCATCACACTGTTGATGGGCCCACTTGGATGGACGAAGGGTTTCACACAGGTTTTAATGGTGGAACGACCAATCATGGTGTCATGACTCCAGTTTCAACCTGAATCGCTGTACAAGCAAATGAATTGGATGATATCTAAATGCATAAATTCCAATATTCATCGATTTCAGATAGAACAAACCAGCAGAATCAGAATAAAACAGCATAAAGTAGAAGCAGCGATGGTGGATGTTGATGCTTCGATTCTAATCCATGGCATATATTCAAACCAAGACAAATTAGTGGTGGTAGGTTCCGCAGGCGATCAACTGTTTAATCCGAAAATCTTATGGCTCACAACGTAAGTCGTCAAATTTGTTTAATATTAAATCTATGAGAGAATTGGTAATTCGGATTTTTTACGACAAAGAAAAAAACAGATAACTTCAGCACACTTTCATAAGATCAAAACATCTACGGTGAAAGAGAAATGTAGAGGCGTATAAATAGGAGGAAATCGAAAAGGAACATACCTGTTGAACAACGGAAACTGAATTTATTATTGGTAAAGAGGAAGCCCTAATAAGGAATTGGTTTGAAATTGGAGAGATGGAATCAAAGAAGGAGCAAAGAAGTGGGTTAAGGAAAGAATGGAATCCAACCTGATAACATCTCATCTTGCTGGAACTCTCTTGAAGCTTCTTCACTTTCAACACCTTCATGATTAGCAAACCCCTAATTTCTCGATTTAAAAATAAATGCAATATCAAATACTACTAGTTAAAAATTAAAATTAGTAGTTTGCTAAAAATCAGCTTACATGCACGAAATTTATTTAAAGAAATGGGATTTGGGGTGTTGGGTTTATTTAAGAAGATTATTAGCGGTTTCATATAGTTATAAGTTAAAAATTATTTGAATAAAAATAGTTTAATGTGGTGAGAAACCGTTAATAAGGGCGTGTTTAGCAAAAGTAGTTGTTAACTGCAATCGGTTAGCGGGTAGTCGGTAACGGGTAGTGGGAAGCTGTAGCTTTTATTTGTTATATAAGTGTTTGTCAAAGTAGCTGGAGCCTGGAAGCTTTTGAAATATATAAAATTACATAAAATGACAACCGAATAAAAATAAATAAATATATAAATATATTTTTAAAGGTAATTATGGAAATTGATTTCAAAAGCTCAGTAGCGTTTTGTTAAACACTACATGAAGTAATTTTTAGATTTGGAGCATTTTTTTAAACTAAAAGCTAAACGCTCGTATTGCCAAACGAAACTTTTTGTTTAAACTAGAGCGTTTTGTCAAAAGATAAAAGCTAGAAGCTCTCAAACGCTTCTAAAAGCTCCATGCCAAACACGCCATAAATCATTTTTCATAAATTATCTCATTCTAACTTATTAACTTATAACCTAATAAGCTATGAAGCTAGAATAATCGCGAGAAGTTATATCATTTTTATATGCGATATGTATCAAGAAAGTATGGTTGAAAAATAAATAGGTATATATCACCACAGTTATATAAAGCAATTTCAGCAAATAGCAAAGCTAGGACGGAGTATTAGTATGTATAAATGAGTAAATACTACACGCAAATGAAAGTTTCAAGTATATAGGGTTTATGGCTCCTCATCCATTTCATCCTATCGATCTTATGATTCAATGGCCCAAAAACATTTGACAACCATTTCATTTATCGAGCACTAGGAGGTTATATTAGTATGTTAGTATATTACATAGTTGATTCCTAAAAGTCATTCTCATGTCATCCAATAACTTGTTTTTTTGCAAGTTTACTTTTTAGATGACAAACATGGTAAAAACAACACAATATTTGGACAATATTTTTTGAAAATTTCTTACAATCATTCATCAAGTATAATCTTATCATATACATAGAAAAAAATGTTAAACCAACATCCTATCATTATGGAGAAAACATTATGGTTTATTTATTCTTCAAACACAACATGCAATCCCTCTATTGCAATGATGAAAAAAATGAGCTAAAGGGTCATCCCTCTGTTGCAATGATGAAAAAAAAGGAGCTAAAGGGCATCTCCGACGTAGCCCACTTTTAAAAGGAAAATCATTTGTATGATACATAATCACTAATATTGAGCCCAAGGTGAAGGATAAGTACGCTCGTATTCTGAACTTTCTGTTGCACTCCATCTTTTTTAACTAAATCAAATTCATTTAACACTTTTTCCCATTTCTTTAACTCTTCATTTTGTTGAAAATTTTCATTTACTTCTTCAAATGTTGATATTAACTTACTTTTCTTCTTAGAAAGACTTTCAAAAGTTTTTGTCAAAGTTGATAAATAATCTTGTGTAAAATAAAAACATGTACATATATGTATATTATTCACATCTGATTATAAAAACATATACATATAAGTATATAGATTTTTACCTCAATCTTTTTATCTCTTGTATTTTCCAATCTTTCAAGAATTTTTCCTGTTCCAAACATTCCAACTTTCATTTCGCCAGTTTCTCGTTTTTTCATCTTGATAGAATCCCAATTTTTATGGATGGACGTAATTGTAAATCATTTTTTCATCAAATTCAACATGGTCAACATATAATAGTTGTATAAAAAGAACATAGTCAAATTTGTATGTTATAGCCAAAGTTTTAAAATAATTTTTTCAAAAAGAAATATTACCAGCAAGTATGTTAGTGGACCATAGAAGTACCCTTTATAATTGTGTGATACATATGATTGTGTCTTATTAATCAATGAGTCAATTATGTAAGAACACCAGTCAATCTTTGAAAAATATGTGATGCTTGAAATCTTCTTTAATATATTCTCATTGATTTTACCTGCAGGTGTACCTTCACCAGAGTGTTGCAAAATAGAACAATGAAATTGAGCTTGAAGTTGAAACCAACCTCTTTTGATGATATAATTGCATTCGTGAGATCATTCAATCTAATGTTCTCTGGTTTATCAAATTAGGCTATCCATTTACTGTAACATTCATCTTTTGCAGGTCGAAAACTAAGGTCTTCCACTTTTTGGTCACCCATTGGAATTCCAAACATCTCATTCACACTTTGTCTGCCAACCTTAATTTCTCAATTTATAACTTTTAGTACCATTTTTTATATCAAAGCTTTTAACAATAACGAAACCAACTGATGAAGGTAACTCATCAATTTCCAATTTCAGTAAACTTTTAAATCCCATTTCTTTAACATAATTCTTTTGCTCCAAACTACATTTCTTTATAATTTTAAGCAATGATTTTGGTGATGAACTGTTATGTATTGTTTGAAATCCTTTTCTTTTTCAGGCAAAAATATCTTTACATAACCTTCCTTCTCTTTTATTTTGAACTGCTCTTAATGAGGTAGATTGAGTTGTTTGGATCTTATATAGCATGCAAATGCATAAAGTTGGACCATTAAATCGACCAAGATATGGAATTTAAGTGAAGAGCATGCATGCATTACGCACTTAATAGAACAGGGTGCATCGCAGCTTGTACGTTGGGCGTACTGTGTTGTACGCTACGCGTACATCCCTTAAGCCTAGTATGCTAAGCGTATTGAAGATGTATGTTGGGTGTACGCTCTCTGTGAGCTTTGGGCCTCTGGTTGACTTTCGAGACCTTGGGCCCTAATTGCTTAGGCCTAGACTTGCTGGTTTTGTGGGCCTGTAATTATTATTGTGGCCAATGTTGGCATGTTGGGCCTTATAGCCCAATGCAGAATTGGATTTTGATGTTTGGCCCATTAGTGAAGAAAAGGATTTTAGCCCATTATGAAGGGAATTGGACTTAGGATTTTGGGCCCATGTCTAGGTTATGTCATAATCCTAACTAGGGTTATTTGTATATTGTTCAGTGTGAGATTTTGGGCTAGTAGTTGAGCAGTTATTGTGTTCAACAGAATTAAGTGAGTCTTTTCACTATACCAATGGGTCGAAGGCACCAATGCCGACCCATTACCTGATATGAGATTTTAATAGTTGATCATGCAATGGTTTTGTTATTTGGTATGTATTGATTTATGTGAAGTGACTATGGGGGGAGCCCATGTCACTTGGTAAGACCATGATGGGGAGCCCATGGCCCTTGGATGTAAGACCATGGGGAGGGGGTAGCCCATGACATCCCAGTTGAGGACCATAGAGGGAGTCCATGACAAATTTTTATGTATATGTGCATGACATTAAGTGGTAATGTGTTTTGTGTGTTTTGGAAAACTCACTAAGCGTGTGCTTATAGTTTTGTTGAGTGTTACAGGTACTTCTGGTTCTAAGGGCAAAGGCCCAGCTTGATGGCACAACATGCACTCCCCAGTATTTCCGCACTTATTGTTTGGATACTCTGATCTTTTGGACAATGTGTTTATGTAATGGAATTTTGGGAAAACAAATATGGTTAAAATTTTTAATTATTAAATGAAAAAGTTTATCTGAATTTGTAGGTTGTTTCGTTTGACGTCCATGTTTTTTTATCACTTTGATTCGAAATTTACAGTTGAAGCTTTGATGATGAGCGTCTGCGATTGTCGTCTTTGTGAAACGGTACATGAATTCGAATGTGAAATTAAATTAAATTTCTACAAATGAAGCATATATAAATTTTTAGAAACGTTGTTTACCATAGTTAAGTTTTCTAACCGAAGTCAAATTGTTTTTACGAAAATAACCCTTATGGTTACTTTGGTTAAATTTATTATCAACTTAATATAACATGTAAATTCCACTTTTTTATATTTGAATATAATGTTACTAATATTTGAATTACATTTAATTCATATATAATTAAATTGTGATTTACATATAAATAACATATAGCTAACTTATGAATAAAAACAATAAAATGTAAACAAGAATTGGTTTGCATTATAAAAACAATAAAATAAAAACACTAACATGCAATTCATGATATATAACAACCAGTATATTTCACTAAATGTTTTAGCTATTTTCTTGATTAAATATTTGCTTGTTTGTAAAGCATATACAAATATACTATAATGAACATACCTTTAAATATTATGTCTAAAATTCATTTCTCAGGTGTTATTGTATTCCATGGCAAATCAGCTATATATAAACATTCAAATTTATGTTTAGCTAAAGATAAGTGTTGAATACCGTTTAAAAGCATTGTAAACATTTTTTTTCTACAACAAAAAATTATAAATATGTAATATATAAAATAGATGTTAATTACATATCAGTTATATGAATATATATTATATAAATACATTTTAATAATACATCTGAATTAAATGTGATTCACATGTGAATTAGATTTGATTCACATGTGAATCACAAATGAGTTGCATTTTAATAACAAATGAATCACATATTAATCATTTATGAAATGCATGTGATTCACATATAAATAACATGTGATTCACATGTCATTCATATGTAATTCACATATAATTTACATGTGATTCACGTGTATTAATCACATGTTAATAACATATAATCACAAGTGAATCACATATGAATTACATGTATTTCACATATAAATTACAATTGATTCATATGTTTAATCACATATTCACATATGAATTACATGTCATTTACATGTAAATGATAAGTGAATAACATATTCACATATAAATTACATGTCATTCACATACAAATGAGTTATATTTTAATAACAAATAAATAATATATTAATCATTTTTGAATCATATGTGAATAACATATTAATCCGATTGAATTATATTTATATGAGAATCAGATGTGATTCACAATTAATTCATATGTGATTTACTTATATAATCATAAAAGTGTACATAAAGGAATAAGATGAATACAAATTGCAAAGTACATGAAA